ATCCTGTGATGTTCAACATAATAAATGATTAAAAATAAAAGATAATAAATCAAATTCCTCCACTCTAAGCCTGTTAAAGCTGCTTTGATCTTGGTGGAAGTGGCTGAGGCTACATGTAGCTCACAACCATCAGTGTGTGGATGGTTGGGATCAGGGTAGGATCAGGGTAGGATCAGGGTAGGATCAGGGTAGGATCAGGGTAGGATCAGGGTAGGATCAGGGTAGGATCAGGATCAGGGTAGGTCAGTGTGGACCTCTGGAGTCCAACAGCATCTAATAAAGCTCTTTAGAACTTTAGTCTGTTTACAAAATGTCTAAAGTTATAAAGTCAAATTTATACACAGATTTAATTGTCATTTATTTGACTTTGTTAATAAACTTTATTAAATTTGATGTTCAGGTCAACATTAAAACATTTTAATTTATTTCAGTTGTGAGAAACCTGCTGCAGCACAAATAAGTTCTGATGTTTTAACTAAACTAGAAAAAATTAAAGCATGTTTTTATTCAAATCAGCTTTTTTGGTTAAAAAAGGGTTGAAATTAAGAAATATTCTGCTTAAAATTGAATAAAATGCAAGGATAGAACTTATAAAATCTCACAATCTTTAGAGCAAAAAGTTGTTTCTAAAAACATTTCGAACTAAGTAAATTTACATTTTTTATAAATATTTGTATTTTTCTCTGCTGAGAATAGTCACACATCAAACGTGAATGTAAAGTTTGTTTACAGCAGAAGAAAAGCTAACGATGTAAAAAAGATGTTTACCTGTTTTCATGTGAAAAACATCCAGATGTGATTCTTACCTTTGATGAGGAGAGTGAGAGCAGCAGCTGCCCACACAGCCCGGCACAAACCCATGACTGCAACCGAAGCTCACCTGTTCAAACACAAATAACCTGCTTATTAACCTGCCTCTTTTATAGCTGCCAGGAGCACGCCCACAACCTGTTCAGAAAAATCCCAAGAACCAGGAGGCGTGTTCAGCTCCTCACTGTACCTTATGATCATTAAAGCATTAAAGCTACTTTCAGTTTCAGTCCAAATTTACATTCATACCTACACACACATACATACATACATACATACATACATACATACATACATACAT